GGAATTATAGAAATGGGATTAAAATGACATTTAATCAATGATAAATGGCACACAAAACTTTCTTAACGTAATGGTGATCACACATGTGGGTTCTAGAATCAGAAGGACTGAGTTGGAATCCTGCCTTTGTCATTTATTGGCTTTAGGACCTTGGGAAAGTGATTTCACCTCACCATGTGTCCGTTTTCTCGGCTGTGAAATGAGTATACTAATATCCCCTTACCTCATAAGGTCGTTGAGAAGATTAAATGAGATAATGTACGTACTAAAAATATTTAGTACAGTGTTAGGACATAGGAAGTGCCCAATACATGTTTGCTGTAGCGAAGCTTTCACATCTTTCTTCTCAATAATCTCACAAAACTCTGAGAGGTAGGTAATCCTCCTTTCAGAGAAAGCACAGCAGCAGAGACTCAGAGAGGTTAAGTAGCTCACCAGCATCACACAGCTAATAAGGTAGGAGCAGAAATCCCCCACAAGGCTCCTAACTCCTAAGTTTAAGGTCTTTTCCATTCAAACATAGGTAGTAAATTAAACACCAGCTCGTTTGGCATTTATTTTAAAATGATACATTATCACAGCGTTTGTACAACATTCTCATCTTCTTTGCAGCAGTCACCTTCTTTTATTGCAATGAGCCAAAGAGTAGAGGATATTCCATCTTTAGAACCATGGAATTTAGAGGGGCTTCAGATTTTGAGGATATTTGGGGTTTGGGATGACATGCGAAGAAATTAATCTGTGAACTGTACCCTGTAGTATTATCCATATTTGTTGTTTTTCTCTTATTGGTAAGTCCTAGTCAGTACTTCGGGAGATGAAGCACTCAAAAGGCGACAGTGACTTTATATTATTGTTTTCTTGTTCTGGGCACTAGATGTCACACTAAGTAAAGTTTTAGAGGTTACTCTTTGGAATAAGGTGTGGCACCGTGTCTAAACCTTAGCTATGAAAAATTAGAGCTCATACATATAAAGCTAAACTTTATATAATTTTTTTGTTTCTTTTTTTTTAAGCTGAACTTTATATTTCTGGTAGAATGCAATAAAAGGGTACTTTCCCTAATAAAAAATTCAGGAAAAGAATTGTTAATAAGAAAATGTAGATGGAATAGCAGCCTATTTTCATGTATGTTAAACTGATAGATCCCATTTATATGCACATAAAATCGTATTTCCTTCTAGAAACAAAGTGATTTTTCTAGAGGCAGCTTATGCATGCATATCTGTGATGGTTTATGTTCTGAGATGGCGAGAAGCTGTTCTTCCTGCAGAAAGAACCAGACATTGTCCTAACCTGCAAGGGATGGAGAAGGTGAAAGAAGAGATAATGAATATAAGGTTCATTATCTCCTGAAACGGTCTCAGGGAAAGATGTGTGATCATCTTCCTTGAGTGGCTTAAGCAAAGAAGACGGAAAAGATGGTGCCTCCCAGCCTTCTTGGCCTCATTTTTTTTCCTTGATTTTGGCTCTCAGAAATCTACATGAGAATCATAGGTTGAGATTTGGAGGCACATTATTTCCTTTTGGAAATATATATATTTCCCCACTGAGTTATTGTGAGATGCAAATACCTCTGCTCTGTCCATAATAACTCTGTCTCCAGGCTGGAGTGCAGTGGCCCAATCTTGGCTCACCGCAACCTCCGCCTCCCGGGTTCAAGCGATTCTCCTGTCTCAGCCTCCGTAGTAGCTGGGACTACAGGTATGCGCCACCATGCGCAGCTGATTTTTGTATTTTAAGTAGAGACGGGGTTTCACCATGTTGACCAGGGTGGTCTTGATCTCTTGACCTCATGATCCCCCTGCCTCAGCCTCCCAAAGTGCTGGGATTACAGGTGTGAGCCACCGCATCTAGCCTTTGAAAAATGTGTATATATATATATATTAAAGACAAGGAAGATGGACTCAGTATGTAAAAGAGTTAGATATTCTATTCTCTAACTTAAATGTGTCATTGAAACTTCAGTTTCCTTTGAAATGCTTGAAATTCATTGGAAGCTAGAGATAATTAATTCAAGCCTTAGCAGTCACAGTACACCTTTATTTTTTCAAGTAACACAGTACACCTTTATTTTTTCAAGTAACACAGTACACCTTTATTTTTTCAAGTAATTAATTTGAACTGTGTCTAATGATCTGCCCATGAATATAAACACATATTTCTATACGTAATTACAGTTGTCAAAAATGTTTAAGTTTCAGGGTTTTCTAGGTAGTGTATAATGATTGGTGATTTCCATTGGACATAATTCCTTCTATATTTGTTAAATATCAGTGCCTTGTTTACGTTAAGGTCACTCAGATGAATAAGGTTACAGTTGCTAAAATACCACTCCTTAGGTCTGGGAGTCATCCATGTCTTCCCCTTTCTTATTCAGGAAATGGACAACTGGTTATTTAACAGTGCCTTCTAAGACTAGATGGTTCTAGTTAGCTCTCAAATTCTGTTGGGACTTGGGATGTTTTTCCTCATATTACTGCCTTGTGTTTTAGCAACCTGAGGTTGCCCAGGTCCCTAGAGAAATCTTTCATTTTCTCTGTGAGTGCTCAGCAGGTGGGGAGTACTGTGATGATGGCAGCCTATGCTGTTTCTCCTTCAAGAAGTCAAACAGCCACTGAGGACGATCAGTAGGCTATTCATTCCTTCAGTGGGTTTGACAACTCAGAAAAACTGTAGCTCATCATGGAGGCCTCAAAGAGAGGAAAACCTCTTCAGAATAAAATGTAGACCAGACTATGTCTCTATCAGGTCAAAGGTTGGGGTTTTTCCATGTGGGTAGGAAGATCAGCTCTGTATTCACCAAATAGTTATTGAGTAACCACTGTGCCAGGCTCTGGGGCACATGAGTATTGTCCCTGCTCAGATGGAGTAAAACCTGTGCCTTTCACCTGCCTGACTACTGTTAAAGGTGGTTTATATCATTATCGTTTAAGACAACTATCAGGGCTATTGGGTGGCCTCCCTGGTTTCTCCACTGACTTGCCTTTGATTTGGGGATGTCGGCTCCAGAACCTTCACTCTCCAGGCCTAAAGGAATGCCTAATGCTTTTAAGAAACATTCTGCACAAGATACAGAAAAAAGCATAGACTTATTTTAATGTTGCAGTAATTGGTTGGTAAATATTCTCTAACTTTTCCCTTTAATCTTTTTAAACAATGGATCATGGCTAAGCAGAAGCTTTACTTATCAAAAGCACTCATATCCACTTTTTCATTCAAAGCTTTCATAAGACCATTGAAACTTGTGGTCCATAGTTTCAAACTATCAACTTTTTTTGGCATATTTCCTTTTATTTTTTTATTGTACTTTAAGTTCTGGGGTACAGGCGCAGATCTTGCAGGATTGCTGCATGGGTACACACATGCCATGGTGGTTTACTTGTCTCCGTCTCTCCCCGCCCCCCTCCCCAGGCAGCTACATCAGGCATTTCTCCCAGTCTTCTCCCTTCCAACCTCCCCAACCCTTGTCGTCCCTCCCCTAGCACCCATGCAAATGAAGCTAGTTTTCTGTCAAAATCAGTTTACTAAAAAGAGTCAAAAGCTTTCCTAATAAGTAAAGGTTTGTTTTCACGGCTGTCTAATGTGACTGTTGACCTATAACTTTGAGACCATGTATGTTTGTTATTGGAAACTGCACGTATGCCTATTTTAAAGGATCACATTTGTTCTCTTGAAAACTGTGTTTGCATAAGCGATTTAACGGCCCATCAGCCTGGATACACGTAATCACAAAATATGACCTCATGGGTCTTGTAATAATAAACAAGGCCACGTGAAACCTGTGACATTTTTCTTGGGGTTAAAAATGGTTCTTCATTTTGACTTTCTCCTTTTATTGGTTTATGAAAATAAAATAATCTTTAAATAAAAAAAAATTCTGAAGCTCAGCTGATTTCAATCCAGTGTTAATTGACCATCTGCAATGTGCTAAGCCTGCAAGGAATCAAAACATGAATGAAGAATATCTTTCATAAGGAGCTAACAAAAGACTAAAGAGGATGAAACAGGTACACTATGCAAAGACAGAGTGTTGAGCTTAGAATCTCAGGTTGATGGCTAGGTTGTGTGAGAAGCAACAGCAAACAGTGAAGCATCTGGGAGCACTCTACCTGCGTGTATCTTATTTGAGCTTCACAATAACTCAACAGGGAAACTGAGTCACAGAGCAGCTAGGTAACTTCTCCAAGGTCATTCAACAAGATAGGGATGAAATTGAGTTCATATTGGAACCTACATCTCAGGGAGCAGGGATTCCTCTTTCTTTCAATCAGGATGTACTTCTTTTTTTTTTTTTTTTTTTTTTTTTGAGACGCAGTGTCACTCTATCACCAAGGCTGGAGTGCAGTGGCAAGATCTTGGCTCACTGCAACCTCTGCCGCCTGGGTTCAAGCAATTCTCCTGCCTCAACCTCCCAAGTAGCTGGGATTACAGGCACGTAGCACCACGCCCAGCTAATTTTTGTATTTCAAGTAGAGACAAGATTTCGCCATCTTGGCTAGGCTGGTCTTCAACTTCTGACCTCATGATCCACCCACCTCTGCCTCCCAAACTGCTGGGATTACAGGCATCCTTGCCCGGCCCAGTATGTACTACTATAAGCCAGGCACGGTGGCTCACGTCTATAATCCCAGCACTTTGGGAGGCCAAGGTGGGCTGATCACCCGAGGTCAGGAGTTCAAGACCAGCCTGGCCAACATTTAGAGAAACCCCGTCTCTACTAATAGTACAAAAATTAGCCGGGCATGCTGGCGCTAATCTGTAATCCCAGCTGCTTGGGAGACTGAGGCAAGAGAATCACTTGAACCTGGGAGGCGGAGGTTGCAGTGAGCCGAGATTGCGCCACTGACCTCCATCCTGGGTGACGGAGCCAGGCTCCGTCTCAGAAAAAAAAAAGGATGTACTTCTACAACTTAAAACAGCTTCGTAAGATTAGCTGGAGGATTTGTAGACTGTGGATTTCTAATGTATCCATAAACCATATTTTTATTTCCCAATAGGTCATGGACTGACAGCGGTCAAAGAAAAAGCAGGGGCCACTCTACGGATTCACGGTGTAAATTCTGGATCTTCCGAAGGGACCCAACCAGATACTGAAAACGGAGTCCCTGAAAGTGAGTGATGTGTCTCCTCAGGGTAGTTCTTGGACTTGGGCTTTATTACACCATGTGCATAATCAGAGGGTTTCCAAGTTCAGATCAGCAACATGAACTTTCAAAGGATTTCTTTTTTCCCTCTAGTAACAGATGCGGCCACAGATCAGGGCTCTGCAGAAAGCCCACCCACTTCCCCTTCATCAGCCTCTCGGGGGATGCTGTCCGCCATCACCAACGTGGTTCAAAACACAGTGAGTCGCCGGCTGGTGCCTTTCTTTCCCCTGTGTTTCCCAGGGCCTTCTTTTGATATTTCCATTTACCAGTGACCTAGATACATCAGAGAAAAGATGCCTTGCTCAGAACTTTGGATTATGGTTTTTTTATGTTTTCTGCTACAAAGTAGATGTAACCTTGGATCCAAAATAATAAGGGCAAAATGAAATATATTTTATTTTTAAAAGAGCTGTTTGGAAGGAACATTTTCCAGTCTGATTTAACAGTGTCCTTTCCAGCTGCGGCAAGGACAGCCTCTGGTTGCGGGGAGAGAGAACTCTTTGTCAGAGCTGGGACAGCTGTTTTTCCTAAATGCTCTGTTTATCTTATCCCTACATTTGAAAAATCATTAAACCGCTTCAATAAAAAGTACTAGTTACAAGACAAGAAAAACAGGCCAAATATGTTTCTGAAGTGTTTCCAGAGACCAGCGTTCTTCCCTCATCCCTACCTCTCCATTCCCACCCTTCCTCTTCCTCATATCACCCTAAGTGTATCCCCCCACCTCCCCCCGCATCCCTGCCTGCCTCTTAAAAGAAGCTCAGTATTAGCAGCAAAACATTGGTGAGTAATGAAAAAAGGGAGACACCTCAACTGAGATAAGGCAGCTAGCTGGTCCTCAGGGTCAGGAAGCAAAGGTTTTGTGTTTTTGTTTTTGTTGTTTTTTGTTTTTTTGTGTGTGTTTTTTTGTTTTTTGTGAGTTGGAGTCTCACTCTGTCAGCCAGGCTGGAGTTCAGTGGCACGATCTCAGCTTCCTGCAACCTTTCCCTTCCTGGTTCAAGCAATTCTCCCACCTCAGCCTCCCAAGTAGCTGGGCTTACAGGTGCTCACCACCACACCCAGCTAATTTTTGTATTTTTAGTAGAGATGGGGTTTCACCATGTTGGCCAGGCTGGTCTTGAACTCCTGCCCTCAGGAGATCTGCCTGCCTTGGCCTCCCAAAGTGCTGGGATTACAGGTGTGAAGGTTTATTTCTTACTACATAGAACTAACTCGTTTTTCTAAAAATATGGCTTGTATCCCATTTGTTCATTCATTCATTCATTAAAAGAAAAACTACAAGACAAATACGATTAGCCTTCAGAGGGCACATTATCCCAGAGGACTGAGGCAACTGAACAGATAAACACAATGTAATTCGGAAAGAGACGAAGGCTGTGGACAAACATGAGAGTATCTCACGCAGACTTCGGGGTCAGGACATGACAGAAATATAGAAAATAACTGTTCTTCTCCTTGCTGTTTGAAGACCTCTAGACTAGGGTGGGGTGAAGGAGGAGTAGCAAATCTGTCTTAGGAGTCAAATAGCAATACAAGTCAATCATCCGTATGGGGGGCGGGTTGTAGGATGGGAGATGAACGGAGCTCTTTCAGCATCTCCAGTGTAAGGAGTGAATCCACCACCTGTCTGAGCTACCAAGAGGGCACTCTGCGTTTGTCTTCAGCAGCCTCACATTCCTTTCCGTGTTCTCTCCAACCTTCTTGACCCCTTTTTCCCAAGTTCCAGACACTGCCCCTCCAGGTCTATCTTTACACAAATCCCTGTGTCCTAACTTCCACCATTTTATTCTCAATAAAATAATCTCTTGTAGGACGTTAGCAGGCACTAAATCAAATTATGCAGGAGTGTGAATTGCTGCAGTTGCATCATCCGCCGGAAGTATGCGCACTGAAAAATCTGATTTATAGTGTGATTACTGGTTGGATCCCAAATCTAAAAACAAAGTCTACATGCCCAAGATGAAGATAACGTATACTAATTCTACGAAATTAACTGTTTTTATTTAAATGATAATCATGAAGCTTGGAAAATGCAAATTGATAATAATATCATAATAAAATACAATTTATATCATGTGTATGTATGGTGGGAAAAAACACAGATGTATGCATATTACAATTGCAGTTATACAGTGGGAGTGTATATATGAAGAGTTGCAAAGAAACATACACGGTTCTGTTCGCTTGAATAGTTTATGTGAATAAGTCTGGGTTATTTTAATTTTTTACAAAAGGAAACAATAGGCCGGGCACAGTGGCTCACACCTTTAATCCCAGAACTTTGGGAGCCAAGGCACGTGGATCACGAGGTCAAGCGATCAAGACCATGCTGGCCAACATGGTGAAACCCCGTCTCTACTAAAAATACAAAACAATTATCTGGGCATGGTGGTGCGCACCTGTAGTCCCAGCTACTCGGGAGACTGAGGCAGGAGAATCGTTTGAAGCCAGGAGGTGGAGGTTGCAGTGAGCCAAGATTATGCCACTGCACTCCAGCCTGGCGGCAGAGAGAGACTGTCTCAAAAAAAAAGGCAACAATGACTGATAAAGAGATTTGTGGGAGGATAACTATATAATAGACCAGTTTCTAAGTCCAGAAGTACACGGAAATCAACCTGTCTTATTTCATGAATATATGAATTTCAAGAATTGGACTAGGTTAGTTTCCCAGGTTAATAATAGGCGGTTATTGCTAGTTTCTGAAAGTATGCAGGAACTATCTGAAACAGCCTGAGGGTCTTACCCTCCAGGGCCCTAAATTAAAGAATTCCCTAAATTAGCAGGACTATTTGACATTTTAATAGACTGCTCCAAGCAACTCTGTGACTTGGGTTAAAAAAATTTTAAACAGAAACAGCAATTGGATCACCTGTTAATTGTATATCTTAGATACACATCTACTCATACACAGAGAGCCAGTAAAATTAATCCCCTTGTGGGATTAATTTTATTTATGTGCTTTGGTTTTTTTCAAAGCATCATTTTTTAGTAATATTGTATGTCCTACAAATTATATAACATATGCTTTTCCAAGGAAAAGAAAATAGGATTAAATGGATGATAAATCTCCTGATGAGAAAAAATTGTGACTTTATATTGATTTTAATATTTGAAGATAGTGCCAGTTACCTAGGAGTTGCTGACTCCTGCAAAACAGCAAAACCTAAAAATCTAATCTCATGCATTTATCTCATCTGCAGGGTAAAAGTGTCTTAACTGGAGGTCTTGATGCGTTGGAATTCATCGGCAAGAAAACCATGAATGTCCTTGCAGAAAGTGACCCGGGCTTTAAGCGGACCAAGACGCTCATGGAGAGAACCGTTTCCTTGTCTCAGGTTGGATTATATACTTTTGCAATTTTTTCTTTCAGTCAATAAAGTAAATAAATTTTTCTTTATCTTTTTGACTAATTTAAAGCACGTGATTCAAAGCAAATGGAATCAACGAGCAGAGAGTGAAAATGGAGCTTCTAATATCCCTGTTTTCCCAACCACTTAATTCCTCAGAGGAGACAACCCCTGTTAACAGTTTCTTAAGGATTCTATCAGAGACAGCATATAGATATGCATATAGATATGTAGATGCTGCTATACATAAATATACAGATATGTAAGTGTATATGTATGCATGTGGATGGACATACACATAAATACACACATACTTTTTCAACCCAGTGCTAAACACATTCTTTTACCTTCTTAATTCACTTAATATTAGAATTTCTTGAAGATGATCCACTTATGCCATTGTATGCATCTCATCTCTACCACTTACTAGCTTCATGACCTGAAGCGAGTTACTTAAACAAATAATATTTGTCTTATTTTCCACATTGGACTCTAATATTAAACTTGTTCTTCCAGTGAACATGCCCGGGTTACCCCACAGTGCAGGCATGCCCCAGTCTGCCTCCTCCCTGAGACTGATACACAAGGTCTCTGTGCTTTCCTGAAATCAGAGGCAGCTGATGCAGTGGTGGATTTTGTAAATGTCACAGGCAGGACTGGGTACTAGGAACCCATGAAGGTTGCCTTCATGAACAACTATCACTGAGAATGTGTTCGTGGCAACCCTCAGAAGCTTTTGTTTTAGGCTATTTTTTCTTGTCTCTTTTGGCATAACAAGTAGGACCACTCTGATGTTATAGTCCAGGCAGGGACTTTGTAGGATCATCTAGACGTCACCCTCCTGCTCCTTAATAAAGAAAATAGGTTAGTGTTAGATTGTTAACACTGGATGTCATAAAAGAACAGTCACCCCCAAGTATCAGTGTGACTTAGAACAAAAAAGTTTACCTTTCACTCCCACAAGGTGCAGCATGAACATTCCTGCTCACACAGGAGGCTCTGTCCCAGGGGGCTCTCATGGGGACCTCACTTCTGACCCCACATCTTCTGGCTCCATCATCTTGAAATCCTTACTTCCAGCTTCACAGAGAGGGCATGTGGAAGGCAATATGGGCCAATTGAGGACTAGGACGGGAAATGGCATACATCACTTTCATCCTCATATCATTGGCCAAGACTTATCACATAGACCACCCAACTGAAGAGGGCTGAGACATAGAGATAGGTTAGCTGTGTGTCTGAAAGGAAAAGGATATTTGATGAGTATATAGGAATGTGTTTGCTGTAAGATATATATATATATATATATTTCAGCTCACTGCAACCTCTGCCTCCCGGGTTCAAGCAATTCTCCTGCCTCAGCCTCTTGAGTAGCTGGGACTACAGGCACATGCCACCGTGCCCAGCTAATTTTTGTATTTTTAGTAGAGACGGAGTTTCACCATGCTGGCCTCATTCTCCCAAAGTGCTCTGATTATAGGTGTGAGCCACCACATCCAACCTAATCTGTATATGTATTTTTATACACACATACATACATGCAAACATATGTGTATGTGTGTGTACACACATACATATTTAATTCAAGTTAAGATAGTGATAAGGTGGAAAAAACGAGACTGGGTCCAAAAACTGGCTAATTCTATGGCTTCTTTGGCTATAAAATGAAGAATTGGACTATGTTAGTTTCCCAGATTATCATAACTTTTGTGCCACTGTCACAATTTTTATCACATCTGCATGCAATCTGTTAAAAAGTAACACTGCCCATAAATTGTCAGTAGCAATGCTCTTAGAAGTATGTCACCCAAGAACCACACTAGCCATCTGCAGTGTGTTTTTTTTAATCACACATCTGAACCATCATGGCAGGGAGTATGATACGGAACCTTCTGGGGCACACCTGAGCGTTGCACCTGTAATTCACATGGCCTGTGTAAACTGGATCATCACAACACTACTGACGTTGACCTCCCAACAGGGATTTTTCATCCATCTATTCATCCACAAATGCATTTTGGATGTCAACTCTGTTCCAGGCACTGTTTCAAGCACTTGGGATACATTAGTAGCCAAAATGGATAAGAACTCTTACCCTTAAAGAGCTTTTGTTTTAATGAGAAGAGACAAACAGACATTATCTAGTTTTTGAGAAAGAGACCAGTGCCATGGGAAAAAGCCAGAGTAGAATAGGAGGAGGTGATCCGGAATGCGGGTGTGAGGGGCAGGCCGAGTGCTAAGTAGGATAGTCAGGGGCCTTGGGCAGATAATGACATGTGAGCAAATACTTGAAGCTGATGAGAGGGTTGGCCGTGCAGGAATCTGAGTAAAGCTCGTTCCAGGCAGAGGGGGAGCTCATGCAAAGGCCCTGAGGCAGGAGTGTCTGGTATGAACCCAGAACAGCAGGATGCTAGTGATGGGGAGGCGTGAGCTCCGGGTGTGAGTTGTTGAAGAGGACACCAGAGTGGTGATGGGGAGTGGCGATGGCAGATTACGGCGGACATTTGTAAGGACCTCGGGTTTTACTGTTCTTGAAATGCGGAAACCATTGCAGCATTTTGAGAAAAGAAGTGACAGAATCTGCTTTGTGCTTTAACAAGATCGCTCTAGTTCCTGTGTAGAAATCTGACTGGGGGGACCAAGGCAGGGAGACTGGTTAGAATGTGTATCCGTCTAGGGACTCCCAGAAACAGACACCAAGATGGGCTTAAACATGCAAGGATTCCATTAGGAGAAGTGCTTGTGTGAAAGAAAATGGGGAGGGATCCCGGGAAGGCTGAGAGAACCATTAGACCAAGATGCTGGTCCCACCCCAGCAAAGGGAAGAGGGAGAAAAGAATGGGTGGAAGTGTCCTAGAGGAAAGGCTGGGCGAAGCCATGGGAAAGCCCATCAGCCAAACGCTGCTGACAGAGGAGACCTCATCTTTCAGTAAAGGTCTGCCTTAGTGCCCTGCTGCACCTGTGATTGGCAGGGAGGAGCTGTGGGGGCTGAAGGCTGGATTTTGAAGTCCAGCATTTATGCTCTCGAGAGTAGGCGAGGCGGGAGGTATTCGGGCCGCACTCTCACACCCTCCACTGGAGGCAATTGCACTGTCAATTGCTGTTATCTAAACAAGCTACGACGTGGCCCCCGGCACCATGGAGGCCTTGTAGACAGTGAGGAATGGCTGATTCCGGGTATAATTTGAAGATAGTTCCAGATCTCCTGTTGGAGTGAATGTGAGCTACGAGATAAAAGGAGTTGTCAGGGATGGCTCCAAGGTCTTTTGGACAGCTGGAAGGACATAGCTCACAGAGCTGAAACAGGGAAGTCTGTTGTATTTTTCCTTTACATACTAAAGAAATTCAGAACTCTAGAAACCAAGAGTGTGCATGTAGGCACTACCTAAATTACTCACGCGTTTTTATCCCAGTAGCGCAGAGAGAACACTCTTCCTTTATTTTTCTTTTCTTTTTCTTTCTTTCTCTTTTTTTTTTTTTTTTTTTTTTTTGAGGCGGAGTCTCATTCTGTCACCCAGGCTGGAGTGTGGTAGCACAATCTCAGCTCACTGCAACCTCCGCCTCCTGGATTCAAGTGATTCTCCTGCCTCAGCCTCCTGAGTAGCTGGAATTACAGGTGTGCAGCACCATGCCGGGCTAATTTTTGTATTTTTAGTAGAGATGGGGTTTCACCATGTTGGCCAGGCTGGTCCTGAACTCCTGACCTCAGGTGAACTGCCCACCTTGGCCTCCCAAAGTGCTGGGATTGCAGGCGTGAGCCACCACACCCAGCCAAGCAGAGGGATTACTGTTTAAATAACATGGTGACAGGGAGTACCATAGCTTCCCTGAGTCAGGAATTCTTCCTGGCCAGGATCACTCCCTGCTATTGAAACCCACTTCCTTTTCTTTTCCAGAGGGAAAATAGAACCAGCATCCCTTGTCGAGCTGCTTATCCCTTAGGCATCTTTAATTTCACTCTCCAGTTTTGTTGTTTTTGTTTTTGAGACAGAGTCTTGCTCTGTTGCCCAGGCTGAAGTGCAGTGGCATGATCTCTGCTCACTGCAACCTCCACTTCCCAGGTTCAAGCAATTCTCCTGCCTCAGCCTCCTGAGTAGCTGGGATTACGGCCACCTGCCACCATGCCTGGCTAATTTTTTGTATTTTTAGTAGAGACAGGGTTTCACCATATTGGTCAGGCTGGTCTCAAACTCTGCCCACCTTTGCCTCCCAAAGTGCAGGATTACGGGTGTGAGCCACCTCACCTGGCCTACTCCCCAGTTTTGAGTGAATCCGCATCTTTCCAGAGTGACCCTTTCCCTTTCTCTTCAATTTTATCCCTTCTTTCCTCTCTCCCAAAGCCCAGATTCAGAGGTGGAAGCTGGTGTAGAGAAAGGAAGTGATGGCCAGGCACAGTGGCTCACACCTATAATCCCAGCACTTTGGGAGGCTGAGGTGGGTGGATCACTACGTCAAGAGTTCAAGACCAGCCTGGCCAAGATGTTGAAACCCTGTCTCTACTAAAAGAAAAAAAAAAAGAAAGAAATCCTGGTGCAGTGACAGGCACCTGTAATCCCAGCTACTCGGGAGGCTGAGGCAAGAGAATTGCTGGAACCCGGGGGGTGCAGGTTGCAGTGAGCCGCGATGGCACCACTGCACTCCAGCCTGGTGACAGGGGCAGGGTCTCAATCAAAAAAAAAGAAAAGAAAAAGAAAAAGGAAGTTATTTCAGTGTTACTTTGTTATTTTATTTTACCACCACCAAGCCCTGTGATCAGTGGGGGTAGTTAGTTTTTATTGCCAGTGTTAAAATTTTCCAGCGATGGTTTCATTGGGTTGTTTGAAAAACTTTAAAATTCAGAGTCTGTACCAATTTCATCTTAAAGACAGACAGGAGAGAGAATTCTCTCTGCGGCCCAGTGGGTTCTTGGCAGACAGCCTTGAGAACCCAAAAGGAGATGAGACTGATTGTTTTACTGGCACACAATAAAAACCACAATCTTTTCTTCAGGTCTCTTCCCCTGTGACCTTGTGGTGGTGGCCAGTGTCTTTACAGTGCTCTCCACAGAAATTAAAAAACCCCATAAACGTAATGCCTCAGTAAACTTAATGAGGAATCACATAAAAGATGCTTAGAATCAAAGAACGAAAGTGCAGAAAATTGGGAGTAACTGATGGAAGTTGTGTTTATGTGTCGTCATTTTATTTAACCAAAAAAAATAATGGGGAGAGGAAATTTGGTTCACAGTCATATTTCTGGAAACCAGCCTAAGAATCTATAAGCTAATATACTTTTTTGTTTTATTGTTTTGAGATAGAGTCTTGGTCTGTCACCCAGGCTGGAGTGCAGTGGCACCATCTCAGCTCACTGCAACCTCCATCTCCCAGGTTCAAGGGATTCTCCTGCCCCAGCCTCCTAAGTAGCTGAGATTACAGACGTGTACCAACATACCCAACTAATTTTTGTATTTTTAGTAGAGATGAGGTTTCACCATTAGCCAGGCTGGTCTTAAACTCCTGAACTCAAGTGATCTGCCCACCTTGGCCCCCCAAAGTACTGGAATTACAGGTGTGAGCCACCACGCCTAGCCCTAAGCTAATATTCTTAATCACAGTAAGCATCTCATGACAAATACATTATGAGTTTATATTTATTAATTTTTAAATTGAGGAAATATAATCACACACACACAAAATTTTAAAAATATAATAATTTGGCTGGGCACAGTGGCTCATGCCTGTAATCCTAGCACTTTGGGAGGCCAAGGCAGGCAGATCACCTGAGGTCAGGAGTTCCAGACCAGACTGGCCAACATGGTGAAACCTGTCTCTACTAAAAACACAAAAAATTAGCTGGGTGTGGTGGCGGGCACTGTAATCTCAGCTACTTAAGATGCTGAGGCAGAAGAATCACTTGAACCCAGGAGGCAGAGGTTGCGGTGAGCCAAGATCACACCATTAAACTCCAGCCTGGGCAACAAGAGCGAAATCCTGTCTCAAAAAATATTTTTTTGTAAAAAAAATATAATTTTTTAATATAATATATGTTATATACATAATATATATGTTATATATATATAATAACTTAGAGCAAATCAAACCAACTTATTTCTGCTTTGAAGCTGTATAGGTACAGGAGTTAACACTGTCATGAGAGATTCAACTTTCCAAGCATACATAAACTTGCTCATAATAGAAAATTTGGGGACTTTAGAAAATAAGAAAATTGGCCAGGTGCACTGGCTCACACCTGTAATCCTAGCACATTGAGAGGCCGAGGCAGGCAGATCACTTGAGGTCAGGAGTTTAAGACCAGTCAGGCCAACTGGTGAAACCCTGTCTCTACCAAAAAATACAAAAATTCGCTGGGCATAGTGGCAAGGGTCTGTAGTCCCAGCTCCTCGGGAGGCTGAGGCACAAGAATCGCTTGAATCTGGAGGCAGAGGTTGCAGGGAGGCGAGGTCATACCACTGTACTCCAGCCTGAGCAACAGAGCGAGACTCCATCCCAAAAAAATAAAATAAAATAAAATTTAAAAAATAAATAAAATAAAATAAGAAAGTGAATGACACATGTGGGAAACACTTTAGTGGAAGCCACTGTTAAAGCTTTTGATGTGTTCCTTTCCAGTTTATTCCTAGCCGTAGAATTTTTGCTTTGGTTTGCTTTTCACATAATGAACGTGTAAAATGCAAAGTAGGATATGATGTAAAAGTTATCAGTAACATCAATCAAAAATATCATTTTGTAGAAATTCCAAAGTGACCAGAATCTCCCCTTCTCCAATACAGTCAGTCCTCCCCACCTCCCCGATGTCTTACACAGGAAATGGTGCTTTTAAATATATATCCAGAGTACAAACATTGTGTATTTCTGCAGATGTTAAGGGAAGCTAAGGAGAAAGAGAAGCAGAGACTGGCACAGCAGCTCACAGTGGAGAGAACTGCGCACTATGGGATGCTGTTTGATGAATACCAAGGCTTATCACACTTGGAAGCCCTGGAAATTCTGTCCAATGAAAGCGAAAGCAAGGTACCTCTGCACTACTCATTTGAAATAGGATGTTTAGTAGTGTGTTTGCTTAAGCATGAAAGAAACTGGAAAATCATCCATTAAAAGATCTCATTTTGGCCGGGCACAGTGGCTCATGCCTGTAATCCCTGCACTTTGGGAGGCTGAGGCAGGCGGATCACAAGGTCAGGAGTTCAAGACCAGCCTGGCCAATATTGTGAAGTCCCGTCTTTACTAAAACTACAAAAATTAGTCAGGTGTGGTGGCAGGCACCTGTAGTCCCAGCTACTCAGGAGGCTGAAGCAGGAGAATCACTTGAACCTGGGAGGCAAGGGTTGCAGTGAGCCGAGAGTTGCAGTGAGCCAAAATCACGACACTGCATTCCAGCCTGGGCGGCAGAAGGAGGCTCCGTATCAAAAAAGAAAAAAAATATCATTTTTAGAGCCTCATTGTTATGCTAAGGTCACAAATATTGTACAATGTGATGATACTCAAGCTCCATTTAATCTCTTCTCTGTCCTACGCCAAGCTATTACCCCACCCCAGCCCCAAGAGGGCTGGCACAGTAAGAGCCACCACTATCCCCCCACCTCATGATGCAAAAGGCTGCTCAGAAATGTGGCTGTCAGGCTTCTGGCCCTCTGCCTCCCTTTGGTGACAAAGTACCCAGGTCTGAGATGCCCTGCCAGCCCACATCTTCATTCCTACCCAATGAAAACAAAGCACTTGATGTTTCTTTTAGACTGCAGGGTTTTAATATATTTTGTTGTATGGATTATATAGTTATTTATTCAACCATCTTGTTAGGACACCTGGGCCACAAAGGGCAGGCTTATCCTACTGAAGGGTAAGTCCTATTAGAGACCGCTCCCCTACAGACACCTGGGAAACCCAGCCTACCCAATGGCCCTGCACATTCACATTTCCCCACTTGATCTCAGGAAAACAAAAGATGACTAGCAAAAGTCAGCAGGGGCTGGTGATTTTTTTCCCTTAAAGTATCTACAATGGAATGTGTGTGTGTGTGTGTGTGTGTGTGCGCGCGCGCATTTATTTAGTAAGCACTTACATGACACTTATATAGCCACTATTCTAAATACCATAAAACAGTTAACTTATTTAACTATTTATGTAGCTGTTTTTTTTTTTGTGGATGTCAGGCTGACTGTGCTCTGGGGCGGTTTTCTTCTTTTCTTTTTTTGGGATGGAGTCCTGCTCTGTCACCCAGGCTGGAGTGCAGTGGTGCAATCTCTGCAACCTTCGACTCCCGAGTTTAAGCAATTCTCTTGCCTCAGCCTCTGGAGCAGCTGGGATTACAGGCGACCGCCACAATGCCCAGCTAATTTTTTTTTTTTTTTTGTATTTTTAGTAGAGACCGGGTTTCTCCATGTTGGCCAGGCCGGTCTCGAATTCCTGACCTCAGGCGATCCGCCTGCCTTGGCCTCCCAAAGTGCTGGGATTACAGGCGTGAACCACCACAACCAGTGACTCTAGTCTAGTGGTTTTCTAGTGGAGGCCAAGTACCCTCTGGACCTCCAGAGAGGGAGGGGCCATAGTGACATTCGCTGAGGAGGGGCAGATCCCCAGACAGGAAGCTCACTTTGGCAGTGAGCCTTAGAATGGAGAATTAGTTTTTTTACTCTCTCTAGGCCTTATCCTCTTATGTTTAGGCTTGGAGCCATTCTTGATGCCGGTCTAATCAGAAAAAGGCAACATCTGCCACATAACAGGCAACTAAGAACCAAATAGGATGAAGACATTGTCCCCTGCGTCTTGTGGTTAAAACTGTTCAAGAATAATTTTCAAAAAAAAAAGGCAAAATTGGGACTCTCATACAAATCCAAAATGACCCATGTTAAATAATTTATTTCACTCATTAATTAATTCAGGGAACCAGGCAGATATTATAAGTGATTCAAAGGAAAAGCCATAGAAGCACAAATGTGTATGGAGTAAAGGATGTAGAAATATGAATGTGGCTATACACCATAGAATACTATGCAGCCATAAAAAAGAATGAGCTCATTTCCTTTGCAGGGACATGAATGAAGCTGGAAACTATCATTCTCAGCAAAGAAACACAGGAACAGAAAACCAAACACCGCATGTTTACCGCATCTTCACTCATAAGTGAAGTCAAACAATGAGAATATATGGGCACAGGGAGGGAACATCACACTCTGGGCCCTGTCGTTGAGCGGGTAGCTAGGGGACGGATAGCAGGGACAGGGGGATTGGGGAGGGATAGCATTAGGAGAAATACCTAATGTGGATGACAGGTTGCTGGGTGCAGCAAACCACCATGGCACATGTATAACTATGTAACAAACCAGCACGTCCTGCACATGTACCCCAGAACTTAAGTAAAATTAAAAAAAAAAAGAAATATGAATGTGTCAGCAGACACAAACGTGCTTTTCCACATCAGGGAGGTTATCCTCTCATTGCACAGAGTTCATTCACGTGACTATTGACAAGAATGACTTTGCATTGTTACCAGCCCTTTAAAATTTACAGACATAAAATTGCTCCCATAAATTCAGAATCCTATTGTCCAGTAAGATGTGCCCTAAAAAATGCAGTTCTCAGTCGGGCATGGTGGCTCACGCCTTAATCCCAGCACTTAGGGAGGCCGAGGTGGGCAGATTACCAAGGTCAGGAGTTCAAGACCAGCCTGGCCAACGTGATGAAAACCTGACTCTACTAAAAATACAAAAAAAAAAAAAGCTGGGCATGGTGGCAGAAGCCTGTAATCCCAGCTACTAGGGAGGCTGAGGCAGGAGAATCATTTGAACCCAGGAGGCAGAGGTTGCAGTGAGCCAAGGTCATCCCACTGCACTCCAGCCTGGGCAACAGAGAAAAACTCCACCTCAAAAAAAAAATAAGAAAAGAAAAGAAAATGCAGTTCTCCATGAAAGAACACATTTTTCCTTACAAAAGCAAAGTCTGGAGTTAGACATTATTTAATTAAACACCACACAAAAGCTGTATGATTTTGGAGACCTCTTACCTCAATCTCCCTATCTATGAAATGGGAATAATAAAACCTACTTCACAGAATTATTAACAGAATTAAGTGAGATGGTCCACAGAAAGCCAGCAGTAGCAGCATGACTAACACGCAGGTAAGTAAGCACTCGATGGACACATGTTATGACATTTGATTTTTATATGCCTTCTTATGTCATATATATTTGCTGTTATTGTTAAAAATATCACAGGGGAGCATGGCCCTGCTGTAAAAAAAAAAAAAAAAAAGTTACAAGATATCATGGCGGAGAATGATTCCATTGTGGTGGCTTCCATCACAGCTCTCAGCCATGAAACAGCCCCAGGCCCCTGGAAAAGAGCCCCAAAGGACTTAGTTTCTGGGAAGAAGGTTTGGCCCTTGGAGGGCACAGTTTGCCCATTGCCTCCATAAGCTCTGGGTTCTTTCCCTAGCCAGAGGTTTTTGTGATATTCATAGTAAGGAACATAAATATTTGCCTTGACTTAGTGATGATAGTTATGGGGTACTGTAATAAATAGTCCTACAAATGTATGGGTCAAAAACAGTAAGAGTTACTCTTCACTCCTGTAATAGTCCAAGATAGGAGTGCCTGGTCAGCGGGCAGCATTCCTGCAATTAGGGATTCAGGAACCAGGCTGTGTCCATCTTGTGACTCCGCCAGACCCGTTCCAATGTGCACAGGTCTCCAGCAAGAAAACAAATGGAAGCTTAGACTGGGGTTGTCAGATGTAGTGAATAAAAATACAAGATGACTGTTAAATTTTAACTTTAGTTGAACAGTGAATATTTTTTCAGTGTAAATATGTCTCGTGCAATATTTGGGACACACAATTATATGAAGAAAATATTCACTGTTTTTCTGAAATTCAAGCTTAGCTAGGCATCCTGTATTTTATCTGGCAACCCTACACATCCCAAATATTTAAAAGTTAAAGAACTTTTGGGCCAGGCATAGTGGCTTACACCTGTAATCCCAACACTTTGGGAGGCTGAGGTGGGCGGATCACTTGAGACCAGGGGTTCAAGACCAGCCTGATCAACATGGCGAAACCCTGTCTCAACTGACAATATAAAAACTAGCCAGGCATGGTGGTACACGTCTGGGCCTAAGGTAGATACAAAACTGGGTGAGCTGGCTGGGCTCAGTGGCTCACGCCTGTAATCCCAGCACTTTGGGAGGCCAAGGCAGGTGGATCACCTGAGACCAGAAGTTTGAGACCAGCCTGGCCATCATGGCAAAACCCCATCTCTACTGAAAATACAAAAATTAGCCAGGTGTGATGGCACACGCCTGTAATCCCAGCTATTTGGGAGGCTGAGGCACAAGAATCACTTGAACCCGGGAGGCAGAGATTGTAATGAGCTGAGATCGCACCACTGCACTCCAATGGGGGCAACAGAGTGAGACTGTCTCAAAAATAATAAAAATTAAAAAGCTAAAGAACTTTAGAAACAGACCGTTAAAGCAAATGTATTCCGTCTTCTTACGTTGACAAATACACTTGTCTAATGACCTGGAAGGCCAGGTTCCCATTCAAATTCCCAGACTCCTCAAATTTCTACGCTCCCCTTCAGCCTGCCCACCTCCTCTCTACAGCTCTATCTCTGACCTCAGGGAACCTTATGTGCCTGTGGGAGGATGCCTTAGTTCAAGCTCCACCCGCACCCCCTGTAAGCAGTCACCTCTCAGCCATCCATCCCTTGGGCCGAGGGATACACAGCCAATGGCACCATCTCACCTTGAAGGGCACAGCCTAGGGAAGACTTCTTTGCAGGCTGGGAGAGGGAACCTTTGGTGACCTGGAGAGTGTTCTAGAAGGGAGATATGGGCTCTGGTGGGGCCATTTCTTGGGCCTGGGGACTCCCCTGTGTCGAAGCCTAAAGGCAGTGTTGGATTCCCCCATCCTCTGAGGCCCTACTGTCTTCTGAATCGCATCAGCATAAGGAGAGAGAGTGCAGAGAGGGCACTACCATGTTTTAAAAACCTTGGCCCAGAAATGATGCACATCATCTCTGCTGACAGTCCTTGGCTGAAACTCAGACCCCATCATGGAAATATAAGGAATTATTATCATTACTATTTTACTAGATTGACTCTAGGGTGACCACAGGCATGGTGATGTGGTATTTGATAAAGGTTAAAGATAAACTAATCATTTTTGGCCAGGCGCGATGGCTCGCACCTGTATTCCCAACACTTTGGGAGGCCAAGGTGGGCAGATCACTTGAGATCAGGAATTTGAGACCAGCCTGCAACACAGAGAAATCCTGTCTCTATTAAAAAAAAAAATACAAAAATTAGCCGAGTGTGATGGCATGTACCTGTAGTCCCAGCTACTCAGAAGGCTGAGGCAGGAGAATCGCTTGAACCCGGGAGGTGGAGGTTTCAGTAAGCCAAGATTGCATCACTGCACTCCAGCCTGGGGGACAGAGTGAGACCCTGTCTCAAAAAAAACAAAAAAGAAAAGAAAAGAAAAACTAATCATTTTCATTGCCATTATGCTGCATGTTTAGAAATAGTAAACAAAAATCTTTACAATGGCAGCACACACCTCCTTTCAAGGAAAAGATTTATAAGTAGACAGATGTCTACTCTGTGTCCTGGACAACACTTAGCATGGTGCCAAGCATATAGTCAGCATTCCACAAGTATTTATGGAGGAGCTCATGATTATGTCTTATTTATTATTGGATTGAACTAAAGATCCAATGCACATGGCCTTGGCATAATGCAGTGAACTAGGAGAAAGCAGAAGAAATGCTGTAGTACAAAGACGCTGGCAAAAGAGTGCTTTGCTAAAGAGAACCCTTCCCGGGGTGCCCCAAACGGAAAACCCCAGTGCTTTCCCTTCTGGATGATTGCCATCTACCAGAAGACATGGGCAAACCAAGATGTCCCACGGGTCTGCATGCCTCTTCGCTAAGCATGGAATTCAAACACATTTACTCAATAGTGAATGTTAGAAAACTGCTGTTTAGACAATAGATCTGAAACTTAAGAATACACTGATGCACATCTGGGACGCTGACACCCAAACGTGAGTGTGCGAGCTGAAATGAACAGTCTGAGAAGGTCAGAAAGCAGTGGCATGCAGCCATCAGGCTGGGCATGTTGACTTCCACCTGCTGAACTCCACGCTAATGGGTTTTGTGATGTTGACTTCCTGCAGAGCTTCCTCCCAGGGCCTCAGCACTGGCTGCATTAGGCCCTGGCAATGTACTGTAGCAACCTTTAGGAAAACGGCGTCCTGGTATTTCAGATGCCCTCTCTGCCTCCCTCACTTATCCTGATGTGCTCATCTATTACCGTAATGAATATTAAAACTTATTCCAAAGAGGACTGCGGCTCCACTGCTGGCTTTCTCTCCAGAGCAAGAGTTTGACCTGCAGAATGAAAAAATAAAACTTTACTACTTTATACTTATAATTAATATTTTATATGGTGCCTTCCCCATGCTTACCATTTTGGAAGTGCAAATAAATCTTCAGAGAATGAATGGCCATCTGTACAAATGTATGTACATGTTGGAGGCAGGATCTGGCTAAAATGCAGTGGCACAATCATGCACTGAAGCCTCAAACTCCTGGGCTCAAGCAATCCTCTCACCTCAGCCACTTGAACAACTGGGACCACAGGCGTGCACCACCATGCCTGGCTAATTTTCTTAAGATTTTTTATAGAGATGGGGGTCTCACTATGTTGCCTAAGCTGGCCTCAAACTCCTGGGCTCAAGTGATCCTCCAGCCTCAGCCTCCCAAAGTGCTGGGGATTAAAAGGGTGAGCCACCACACCTGGCCTGTTCAAATAATTTTTAACCATGCACAGAGGATAGTTTCAAAAGAGAGGCTCTGAAAACAGTGAACAGGGATGACATCAGTCCCAGCGTCACCTCCTCTGTGAAGTCCTCCCAGTGTGTGCCCTCTCAGTTCCCCAAGGGGGAAGGACAGTGCTCTTCCTCCCTCCACTGCACCCTCCTCTCATGACTGTCAGGGTCGTTCTTGGTTGACACAGCCTCATCCTTTAGACTGCAAGATGGTGGAGAAGAAAAATGTGTCTTATGCATTTTTGTAACCCCAGTATAATAACTGACATCTAGCAACTATACATGTGCATCTATAGAATGCTTATTTGTTTATGTTTACCTGGGTATGCATGTATATTTGTAAGTATTGAGCATCACTATAAGTATTTTAAGTAGATTACTTCATTTCACCCTCGAAACAATCTTGTAAGTTAGATGCAATTAGTTTCTGTTTTACAGATAAGGAAGCTGGCCTTCCATAGCAACTTACATAAGTTACTGAAGGTCATAGTAAGTGAGGAACTGATATTTGACTTCAGGGTTGATGTCGAACTGCATTTTCAACCACTGTGATAGAAGAGCCACCACTACCATTTATGTAGCACCTACTGTGTGCAGTTGCGCAATGTACTTCACATTTTCTATCTCGTTTACTCCACAAAGAATCTCACCTTACACATGAGAAAACTGAGACCCAGAGAGCTTATCTAACGCGCCCCAAGTTGCACAGTTAATATGCATCAAGCCAACATTCAACCCAGCGATGCTTCCTACACCATGAATCACTTCAGTCCTGGGAAAACTGGGGACCACTGAATGTAAACATTATTAATGAGAAGGAAAGATGACAGTTGTGCTGACCTATTTCTTTTTTTCAGATTCAGTCCTTTTTAGCATCACTTGACGGAGAGAAGCTGGAACTCTTAAAAAATGACCTAATTTCCATTAAAGACATCTTTGCAGCCAAAGAATTAGAGAATGAAGAAAATCAAGAAGAACAAGGTAAAGGAAAACAAGTTAAATAGCAAGACAGACTGCTGGCATAATCCTTATGAAACTGCTGTTAATGAACACAGCCCTTTGAGTTACTTAACTCAAGTGCTCCTCCTCCATGCTTCCAAAATACACTGCGCATCTGCTCTTGTTACAGGAGCTGGCCACATTGATTTAGATGACTCTCTGTCACTGGGGGAGGGAACTCTTGTTGTGCCTCTGGTGTTCAGTACAATCCCTGGCACACTACTGGCATACAATAAATGCATATGCATATGGTCAGATGAACAAAGACTGCAACGTGCTAAATGGCCCTGATGACCGGAGTTTATGCTGCTGCTTATCATTTTTATCTGCATGGAAAGTTATTTACTGTGATTAATGTTAATGGTGGGTAAATCTTTCCCTGAATTTTTTTCCCATATTTTTCTTATTCTTTTTAATTTATAGGTGTAAGAGTTAGGGTATATTGGCAAAGGTCCTATGCTTTACCTAAAAAGTTCAGTTCTGACAAAGGCTGTACCATTTTCTGACCGGGCACCAGGGCATGATACATCAGGTTGGCAGTCACACTTCCCAGTAATCTTCCAGCCAGATAACAACTTGACCCAAGGAGACTAGAACTTATTTTATGAGGAGCAAGGCTTCCTTAGGAGGGGAAAACTTATTCTCAAGGTTGGGCATGATTAATGATTCCTTTAGGTTTGTCCATTTGGGAGCAGAAGAGAGTAAAACACTTGCTATGTACATGAAGAGTGATTTCTTATTGATGTCATAACCAACCACCGCCCCACAGCTGTTTCGTGTTAGTTATGCTAAAAGGCCAGACAACCTCAGAGACAGGGCTGGCTTCTCCTAGGACCATTGGAAGGGTCCCATTTGAAACATTTTTACCACTTTCTTGCTATATGGCCTTAAACAAATTATATAACCTTTCTGAAACGCAATGCTGTATCTTCACTTGTAAAATGGAGACAATGATATATGTGTGTGTGTGTGTGTGTGTGTGTGTGTGTGTGTGTGTGTGTGTATTTCCAAGAAATCCCAATATATCCCAAGAAATATATATATATATTTGCTGTTGTAAGGGTCATATTAGGTAACATATGTAAAAACATATATTACAGTGCCTGGCACACAGAACTGCTCAAAAATGTTAGCTGTGCTTATTACTTAAGCTGCTAACACAGTGCCAGGAAAAAGGAAAGGTGCAATAAATTATGGCTTTCATGTGTTATTATGCTTGTTGTTATTACCTGGCATGCAAAGTAATGATAATGTGCATTAATAATCTCTGGCAGTGTTTTGTGCCCAGACATGTTACATTCCTTTAATCAAAGCTCAAACACAAAAGCTCAAATGCTTGAGCCTTGATGTTCAGGGCAAAATTATTCTAAGCATTCAGAAACTATCATTTAGACACCACTTCCCTCTTTAACCCCACACACTGACCTTACATGCCTTCAGCTTAATGAGATTTATGCTCATTGCATGAAAATAAAAGAATCAATTATACTGAAGCATAGAAAGGGGCCAGTATCAGAGACAGTTGGGAATCATGTTTTTGAGCATTAGTGTCTTCCTCCCAGAGTCACAAAGGATGACAGCCTTGTCATTGTCTTTCTAATGAAGAAACTAAAACACTAGCTGTCAAAGGTCATGTGGCTCACCTTGGGGACCCAGGATGAACTAGATGGCTGTTTCCCAGACTAGCAATCACCAAAAAGTATCAAGTTATTTATCTTCAAAAATCATGATGTCTGAGGTAGACGTTGGTTCTATTAAGGGTGTCATTTAGAAAGGGACAAAAAGAGAATCCCACATTTCCCTAACATCAAGGAGATATTCTTGCCAATGCAGTTAAAGAAGTATTACATCCCCAACTGGTGCTATTCCTTGGAGGGGAAACTTAATTCAATACTGTTAAATAGAAAATGTCACTGAAGTGATGTATTCTAGTCTTAATGTAGACCTTCAGTAAATTCAACTTCTTTAAATACCACACATGCACATATACACATGCAAAAACCTGAAGGGCTGAACAGCATGCTTCAGCAATGGTGGGATTGCCTCTCCTTAATTGACAAAATCCTGTTATCTCCCATAATGTATCAATTTTCCCAAGAGGGCATCTCCAGATTGTCAAAACACTATTAATTTTAATTAACTTAATTTAATAAATAAGTGGCATTCAGAAACTTAATGAGAAACTAGGAGAAAAGAATAGAGACGTTGTCATGAAATCAATCCAATTATCAAGTGTCACACCTCCAGAAAGGTTCAGGGATTACGCAAAAGCCATAGAGAGGAATCTTTGCAGTGGGGGTGAGTAGGAAATCCAGGAGCAAAATTCTGGAAGAAAACAGCATTTTCATCCGTTTTTTGTTTTTTGTTTTTTTTTCCTTTATAAGCATTGCATTCCTAAAAGCCTCCTAACTAAATAATGCATTTGGTCCTCTCAGAAAATGTAATAAGCTATCATCTTTTAGATGAATGTAATATTGGTCTCCTCTGCATTTAATAATGTTAGCTAATGATTTGCATGTTTGTTTTTCCAGCAGAGTGTAATTTTATCACACTGCCATAGATCTCTTAATTTGATTTGCCATGGCTGAGAAGATACTTTAAAAGGCCATTTTCTATTTGTATTGCTCCAGTGAAGATCCTCTTGGCCACGTGTACAGACCAAGAGTTGCAGTAATAGGTATTGTTTGTTGTAACATGTATTATCATCTGCTTTTATCAACCTCCATTTTTCTCTATGATTTTTTTTCTAAAATATTTCCCAAAAGTTGTTGGTGTATGTTTTACAGAATTAATACACCTTTAAAAGCTGGAGCTCTACAAAGTGCTTGTATCTTAATTTAGTGTTGATTCCTCCCAAATACTTTACTCTCCCTGTGTTTGTATCAGTGTGACACATAATTTGTTTACGTAAAACTTTTGTGTTGACAAAACACTTTCACGTTTGTTGTAGTATTTGCTCCTTCTAACAACTATAAAGAGGAGATGGGTGGGTTTTATTGTCCTCAATTTTCAGAGGAGACAGTGGAAGCTGAAAAAGTTCTGTGCCTGGCCCCAGGCCACAGAACTACCAGGGGCAGGAGCCGGATAGAACCCATGCCTTCCAATTACCGGCCCAGGACTCTCTCTGCTCTGCAGCACGGCCTCATGCAGAATGAGGAGCAGGCAGTTTGGGAAGGAGGCCTTGTCGATGCTGCCCAGGTGTGCCCAGCCCCTCTCACTTTCCCTCCCTGAGGAAGATTAGACCAAGACCTCTGCCCAGGAGAGAGAATCTCAGCTTCTGATGGAATCAATCTCTCTCTATCTCTGTCTCTCTCTCTCCCTCTTTTTTTTTTTTTTTCAGCCAGTCTCACTCTGTCGCCCAGGCTGGAGTAGAGTGGCACAATCTCAGCTCACTGCAACCTCCGCCTCCCGGGTTCAAGCAATTATCCTGCCCAAGCCTCCTGAGTGGCTGGGATAACAGGCACAGGCCGCCATGCCTGGCTAATTTTTGTTCTTTTATTGAAATGGGTTTTCACCATGTAGGCCAGGCTGGTCTCTATCTCCTGACCTCAAGTGACCCAACCACGTCAGCCTCCCAAAGTGCTGGAATTACAGGTGCGAGCCACAGTGCCCAGCCCTTTCTCTATCTCCATCTCTATTTCTATTTCTATCTCTACCTCTATCTGTCTCTGTCTCTGTCTCTGTCTCTGTCTCCGTCTCCGTCTCCGTCTCCGTCTCCATCTCCATCTCCATCTCCATCTCCATCTCTATCTCTGTCCCTACCTCTGTCTCTCTCTCTATCTCTGAGACTGTCTAGCCCTAATGCATTCTCATTCTTGAAGGCTCTGTTCAGGCATTACCTCCTCCAGGAAGCCTACTTCACACCCCTCTGAGAGCTGGATGCTCAGAGAATGCTTTTATTATTCCCCAAACTGGTAATAAGCCCATGTGGAATCAATTCTTCAGCACCTTCCAGAAATGTTAAAAATGGCATGGCCTTGCAGATACCTTAAAAGAGAAAAATAAGATTGTAAACTTTAACAATCTCTTCATTGCGCACAAGGATCCTAATTTTTTTATTTTATGATATAAATGATATTTTAATATGTAAACTATGTTATATATATTAATATGTCATATTATTATATGTTAGACAATGTATTAATAAATCATGCTGTAAATATTCATGTTAGCACCTATTATATGTGAGGTATTGTGTTAGATATTCTGGATTCAAGAATGAGCAGAATAAATACTGTGTCTGTCCCTCAGTAGCTTCCAGGGTGAAAGGAAGACAGATCATTTAGAAATATTGTATCCTAGGGAACCTTGGGAAATTTCTCCAGAGAGATGGTTGAGACTAATTAGGCTAGTTCAGCACTTTGGCTCTGTGGACATAGGACGGCACCTGGGTATCATTAGGGTTGCAACGCTAAGCATCACAATATCGAAGTCATAAATATGATGTTGTCCCAGGTCTCTTAGGCCTGAGAAAGGTCATACATTTGTTCATCCAGTCCTTGTTTCAGCAAATATCTGCTGACCACCTATAGCTGTGAGTAAGACCTGCGAGTTCCCTCCTTGCCCTCTGTTGCCTTTGGATTGGCCTGGGGGTGTCCCCGCGGAAGCTGCCAGTAACAGGGCTTCAGTGGCCCGCACCCAGATGCATCTGCTGCCTCACTGCCATGCTCATGAATGGAAGACATTCATCTTTGCCCAGCGGCTGGCTGGCAGGCTGCTACAACCTCCGCTTAGTCTACCCCAACTGCAGGCTGGAACGCTGGGGGAGCTGCCACATCCTGAAGGAGGAAAAATAAATCACGCTTCTTCTGTCATGTTCTATTTCTAGGCTTAGAAGAAAAGGGAGAAGAATTTGCTCGCATGCTTACCGAGCTGCTCTTTGAATTACATGTGGCGGCCACGCCTGACAAACTCAATAAGGTCAGCACCTTCCGATTTATAGTTTTTGTTTTAAAAAAAAAAAAAGAGTGCATGGAAGACTTTCTGTTGTAAAGTTCCAGACATGCACCTGAAACAGAAAACCCCCAAATCTTATATGGCCTAGTGCCGGGGGAGAAGTTCGAGGTCAGTAATTAAGATTTGAGGCGGGGGTGGGCAGGGGCTGGGTGTGGTGGCTCACACCTGTAATCCCAGCACTTGAGGAGGCCGAGGTGGGCAGATCACTTGAGGTCAGGAGTTTGAGACCAGCCTGGCCCCGTCTCTACTAAAATACAAAAATTAGCTGGATGTGGTGGCACATGCCTGTAATCCCAGCTACTCGGGGACTGAAGCAGGAGAATTGCTTGAATCCAGGAGGCGGAGGTTTCAGTGAGCTGAGATTGTGCCACAGCACACCAATCTAGGTGACAGAGCGAGACTCCGTCTCAAATTTTAAAAAGGAAAATAAGATTTGAGGAGACAACATAATGGAATGTGATGGTGGAGAACTTGCTAGACTGTGTCATGAAATCTGCATTTTAGCTGTAATTTTACTGGTAATGACCTTGCGACATTGAACGAGTCACTTACCTGTTCGTGGTAAAATAGAATGTCGTGTCAGAGCAGTAGTTATCATCAGGTTAGAGGAGGGAAAAAGGGTGCAGAACCACCAAGAGACTTTTTCAAATTTTATCCCCCAACCCCATTCTAAGGGAACATGCCAGAATTAGGCAGAGAGAAGCATGTCAGCCAGGCACACCCCACCGTCCCTCCTATCTGGAGCACAGGGGCTTCATCATGTCTAAGGCCATTCCAGCTTTAACAGTCTGGGCTCCTCTAGTAATACCACAGTATGTTTTGCAAATTAGTACAAGGTCTTGCTGTGAAGTTTCTTTAGGGGACATGATCACTAATTACTTAAAACCGCGTGTTTTTCCATTCTCTCTCTCTTTCTTTCTTCTTTATAGCAAGCAGTGGTTTACACAGGCACCCCCTCATCCAGGTAGGTGAGGAAAAGGGCAGAACGAGGTAGTGAGATGAGTAATTTCTTTAACTCTGATGGGGTCACTGGTTCTGGCAGGTCGGTGACTTGAACACAGTGGGAAATTGCCTCATTCATCTCCCTGTGGCACCTGCCACTGCTCAAAGCAGGCATGTGGTGGCTCCGAGATTCCACCGGCTTATTTGCATAGGGTTAAATCTTTGTCTCTAAAAAAGGACACACGGAGGACAGTTTTGTTGGGTTTTCTCTCCCCAGATCTTCTTGCTGTTAACTTACCATTCAACACTCGTATTTTTAACTTTGATGTGTACGATTTAAGGTGGGAAGTTTAGCCTATGCCCCAAAACAACTTTTACTTAAGCAAACAGCTTAAATGATCATGACACAATTGGAGTGAGTCTGTCCTTTCTTTCTAAATTCAGGGAATAACAGATAGGGGAGGAGGTTTCTGACTGTTTAACTTAGCCATGATTTTTTAGGGCACAGAGTGCATAAACCGCACTCGTGAAATTAGACACAGAGCAGCACCAGGCCTTTCCCACAGCCCTTCTCTTCTCCCACTTGAGGTTGGCAGACCTGTCATGAATCAAGAAACGCAGAGCCCTTCTTCACCTTCCCAGCACATTAGGTTCACAAAACAGTAAGAGCTTCCTGAGATATGTCAGATGAGGACATTTGCTGTAGCCACGGCCCTGGCTCAATTTCTAACATATATTCTTTGAAGTACTGTTATTCTTTTATAGATGATCATGAAAAGTGAAAAATATACTATAGATTTTTCAATGTGACCATCATTTTTATTCTTATCGGAATATCATTTTTAAATGCTTTTTAAAGAGTCCCCAGGCCTGCAATGTTCTTTCCATACTTTCTATCCTGTCCCTTTTTTCTACTTTGTATTTACCAGAAAGCAACAACAAGGCTATCTTTTTAGGGGATTGAGAAATTGCCCCATCACTCTCTAAACATACAGAGATCCATTTGAGACGGAGTCTCACACTGTCGCCTAGGCTGGAGTGCAGTGGCACAATCTTGGCTCACAGCAGTCTCTGCCTCCTGGGTTCAAGCGATTCTCCTGCCTCAGCCTCCCAAGTAGCTGGGACTACAGGCGTGCACCACCATGCCCAGCTATTTTTTTTTTTTTTTTGTATTTTTAGTACAGACAGGGTTTCACCATGTTGGCCAAGATGGTCTCGATCTCCTGACCTCGTGATCTACCCAGCTCGGCCTCCCAAAGTTCTGGGATTATAGGCATGAGCCAATGCACCAGGCCCGGCCATTCTTGAAGATTTAGAGCCACTTGATTCTAGTCTTGGGGTTGGAATGACTTAGTTTCCATATTTGCAGCATAAAAGAATTGTTTGGTTGGGGACCTTTGCAGGCCATGAGGAAGGCTCATGACTGGGTGGAAGAGGATCAGACCATGGTGTCGGTAGATGTGGCAAAAGGGTCAGAGGAGGAAACAAAGAAGGAAGAAAAGGAAGAGAAACCTCACGACCCTCAAGAAGACAAAAAGGAAGAAAAGAGAACTAAGACCATAGAGGTAAATTTATTCTAGAGTGTCCACCTACAAGGTAATAATAGTACGTTCATTTTATTAGCAACTTAGTTTTAAGTGAGGAGAGGGCATTTCTTTTTCATTTGTTCCATATTATAGAAATATAAGTAGGAATGCAATAAACACTGAAATTTCTGTCTGCCAAGATAATTCATGGTTTAGCACAAATTTTGTCACTTTTCTCCATAGCTTTACAATTATAATTTAAAGGGAAAAAAGATCTTTAGGAACATAGTTGATTTATCTTTAGGGTAGAATTTCATCTTATATGCAAATGTGTTACTATAAAATGTCTTTATGTCCCATAACTAACGAGGTAATTGAAGCCTTTAAAAAAATTCATTGCCACAGCTTTTATTCTGTAATTTAATAAATTTATGTGTGCATAGTTTATATCCTGCCTATGTTCAATAAAGGGGTTTGTAGTAACTTCATCTGAGTTTTAATTTTAAAGAAAGTAACTTTTTGGCCAGGCACAATGACTCACACCTGTAATCCCAGCACTTTAGGAGGCCAAGGCAGGTGGATCACCTGAGCTCAGGAGTTCAAGACCAGCCTGGCCAACATGGTGAAACCCCATGTTAACTAGAAATACAAAAAAAAAAAAAAATTAGCTGGCCATGGTGGCACAAGCCTGTATTCCAAGCTACTTGGGAGGCTGAGGTACAAGAATCGCTTAAATCCGAGAGGCGGAGGTTGCAGTGATTAGATCACTGTAAGGAAAAGTATCCATGGAGCTCTGTGCATTCAGCCGGCCTTCCACACGCCTTCTTTAGTGCCTGTTTTGTGCCCAGCATTGCTGTAAGCACTGGGGATGCAGCTGTGAACAGGCTCTCCACATCCCTCGGTGCCTGACAACACTTCATTTTTCTGGCAGCCTTGCACTTAAAAAAAGTCTTCAATATGTTCGTAATCTTCAGGTTAACTATTTCATGTTATATTTAGTGTATTTTTAAAAGAATTATATCACTTATATTGTCACAGCGTTTTTTAATAAAAGCATCTACTCAATAAATTTCTTCCTCGTATTTATTCATTTCAGGAAGTATACATGTTGTCCATTGAAAGCCTGGCAGAGGTAACAGCACGCTGTATCGAGCAGCTTCATAAAGTAGCAGAATTAATTCTTCATGGACAAGAAGAGGAAAAACCAGCTCTGGACCAAGCAAAAGTTCTAATAAAGTAAGTAAATGTTACTTTAAATTCTTACTTTCCAATTTTATATATAGGTACCATTCAGATACACACATATACACCAATACTCTCAAAGCCACTAAAATATTCAGATTTCTTTTTGTTTGTTTGTTTTAGTTTTTTGGTTTGTTGAAACGGGATCTTGCTCTGTCACCCAGACTGGAGTGCCGTGGCGTGGTCATGACTCACCGCAGCCTCAAACTCCCTCAGGCTCAAGCGACCCTCCCGCCTCAGCCTCCCCAGTAATTGGGACCACAGGTGCACACCACCACATCCGGCTTATTTTTTATTAATTGCAGAGACAAGGCCTGGCTACGTTGCCCAGGCTGGTCTCAAACTCCTGGGCTCAAGCAATCCTCCTGCCTCAGCTTCCTAAAGTACTATGATTACAGGCATGAGCCATCATACCTGGCCAGAGATTCTGATTTCAAGTCAACCAATTCTATTGTTCTATGGTCACCCTAAGAAATAAAGATTTCTCTTTTAGTTTGTTTTTGTTGTTGTTGTTGTTGTTTTTGAGGCAGAGTCTTGCTCTGTACCCAGGCCGGAGTGCAGTGGCACGATCTCGTCTCACTGCAACCTCCATCTCCTGGGTTCAAACGATTCTCCTGCCTTAGCCCCCCAAGTAGCTGGGACTATAGGCCCACACCACCATGCCCAGCTAATTTTTGTATTTTTAGTAGAGATGAGGTTTCACCATGTTGGTCAGGATGGTCTTAATCTCTTGATCTCATGATCTGCCTTCCTTGACCCCCTTAAAAATAAGCCATTAAAGTGCTGGGATTACAGGTGTGAGCTACTGCACCTGGCCAGAAATAAGGATTTCTTTAACAAATGCATTATGTTAGCAAGAAGAAGACGACTTCACTAGCCATTCTAGAAATTATTCATGAAGAGATTTAAGGGAAGACACATTAAATCATCCGGAGGCATGAAAGTGTTTATTTAATAGATCATAGTCTTAGGAGTAAAAACTTTTGAGGGTAATTACATTTTCAACATGCACATGAATAGAGAAAGGACACTTTAATAACTTCTAGCTAGATTCACAAACATAGGCAAATACACTCCACTGTTCCTGGGGACTTATACCAGCTCTGCATATTCTGAACTCTGGTGATGATGGTAGCTGATATTAAACAATTCACCCTGGGTTGTATGTGTGTACATATGTGGTGTCCTATATTATGTTCTTCAATAAATAATTGCTATTATCATTACTTTATTAAGTAAAGTGAAAATATTTATATATGTAACAGGAATATGCAATCTAGTGAATATACATGAAAACAGTTGATATAGAGTGTTCATGAAAATAGTTGGTATGAAGCTGAAAAATAAGCCATTACTGTGATATAGAAAATTAACATAAGCCTAAGTACCTCGTGTTATTATACAAACACAGGGTTCAAAATAGAGCCCCTGAAAATATTCAGGAACGGACACACACAGGTCTCAGCACAGCCGCTTTGCTAGCTAACTAGTCTTTGCTTATTACTGCTTTGGTGTTGTAGGTTGGGGAGTAAGCTTTTAGTGGAAAGATCTTCCAAAAAGTCAGCATTAGTGTCTTTGTACTGGTGGCATTTTTCCTCACTTGTAGAGATCTTTCATCTGGCCTAGATTTCTGTATCTAAGAATGTAAAAATCAAAGTTATTTTGAGAACCACATAATCCCCACCTTAATATTCCTAGAAAGAATACACATTTGCCTCAACATTTAGAAAGAAGAGGAAAGGACAAAGTAAGAGAGGTTGAAAATGCTGAGGGCAATCTGTTGGTACTGGTTTATCTTTGCAGTACTAATTGGAAAGGGGAGGATTAAAGTTCAGAAGCCCTAGGAGTGAATAACAGGACCTTACTCTTTGCTCCTTTCTGATTCCTAGCCCTGCTTGTCCCAGCCTTACTAAGCTGCACTTAGTCCCTGACTTGTTTGTACAATAAGTGCCTCCCCACCCACCTGCCCAAGAACACAGACTAAATGGCTTTGGGATGGCTCCTGGCTTTACTCTTGATGCTTTCTGCAGACAAGTTTTGGATGGATGGATGGGTGGATGGATGGATGGATGGATGGATGGATGGATATGTGGGTGGGTGGGTAGATGGATGGATGGATGGATGTGTGGGTGGGTGAGTGGGTGGATGGATGGATGGATGGATGGATAGATGGATGGATGGATGGATGGGTGGGTGTATGGATGGATGGATGGGTGGATGGATGGGTGGATGGATATAGCTCATAAAACCTAAATATATGTTAGATAAGGCCTCTTTTATCAAAGCAAAACTTACCTCTACTGACTTTACTGGATCTTTTAACATTTAAGATTCTCGACTGGGGGTTATTGTTTTTCCCATAGCATTTCAATCACTATTCATGAGAGCTATTTGATAGAAAAATAGCAGACCATACCTACATTATTAGGTATTTAAATTGTTTTCCGTTTTTGTCATCATCTATACTGTTAGGATAAATGTTACTTTCATTAAATATTTATGTGTATCTTGTGTTATTTTCTTGGAATAAAGTCCCAGAAGTGGAATGCCTAGAATAAACTTGGAATTTTAATATAAGTATTAAAAACATATTATATAGGATCTTTATTTCTGAAGCATATAATAAAAAAAAATCAGAATATCCAGAGACACCCGAATTTGAATCCACCTCTCCTGCATGTTCTAAGCACCTAAACAGTTTACCTAACTTTATTTCTTTCTTTTTTTTTGAGACAGAGTTTTGCTCTTGTCACCCAGGCTGGAGTGCAATGGCTCAGTCTCAGCTCACTGCAACCTCTTCCCCTGGGCTTAAGTGATTCTCCTGCCTCAGCCTCCTGAGAAGCTGAGACTATAGGCACCTGCCACCATACCTGGCTAATTTTTTGTATTTTTAGTAGAGACAGGGTTTCACCATGTGGGTCAGGCTGGTCTTGAACTCCTGACCTCAGGTGATCCACCTGCCTTGGCCTCCCAAAGTGCTGGAATTATAGGCATAAGCCACCATGCTTGGCCACCTAACTTTCTTAAATGTCTGATTTTCCATCGATATAAAATGGAAATAATAATATAACCCATAAGGTTACTCTGAGAATTGTATATGATTAGGCATACGAAAGTGCTTAACAGAGTGCCTCAGTGAATGTTCATAATTATTTTGAAATGACCAAAAAGCTGCAAACCAGCCATGTGGCAAGAGTTTATACCTTGACGCATGTGAAGCTGAAGCCTAGTATTTTACTACACAAGGTTTTGATTTTAAAAGAGATTAAGTGAGTTGGATGATTATTCTTTAAGCATGGAAAGAAAACCAGGATTAGATTAAGCCATGATTGCAAATCATGGAAGATTATTGAGGGAACCATCGGATGGCACATTTCTGTAGAGCATCTTCAAGCGTGTGGGCTATTCTTTTAAATGTCATACTGAATTAGTATCAGAAATTGTCATGACACTTCAATTATTTTACCTTATTGAAAACATCCAAAGCTCTCTTTTTTTCTTATTTCAGATTAACTACTGCAATGTGCAATGAAGTGGCCTCCTTATCAAAGAAGTTTATGAGTTCTTTAACCACTGTTGGGGTAAGATTACAGTCTGGATTTTTTACTCACCTTTTTTAAGGGAAGTAGTTCTGTGAGGGGCTGTGAGGAAATATGGAGATGCAGCACTTTCTTTAATCGCTCCATAAAACTGAAGCTATGCCCTGATGTAAGCTAAAGTCAGGCCAAGAGCAACTTCTCTAAGGACAGGCAGCTTAGGATTCTTCTGACTGGGTTCTAGCCTTGAATCTGCCACCTCAGACATACAAGATGTTGGGTGAGTGAGTTGTCAAACCTCTGCTTTTTTTTTTTTTTTTTTTTAAGTATCAGATGAAGATTCCACTAATTACTTAATATCTGTGATATATGTAATTCAGAATCTCTGTTAAAATGATTAATTTTGAATATTCTCATTGACTGTTGCCCTCAGAGCCTACTTTACAAGCCATGCAAGATAAAGTTTTGTTTTATTGTCACACTTGACTTTAACCAAAAGAAAAGTGTTACTGATTGGCTCAAGTGTTTCTATTCTCAAGGTATCAAGTTTGAAAGGCTCAGCATTCACTTGGAGGTGTGGCCTCTCATTATTTTCTCTGGAAATATGTCATATTATATAGCTTCACCTTAGTGGGCCCACAGAAAATTGGAAAAAACTCCTTTTTCGTGTCGAGCTGGAGTCTCGCCAGGCTGGAATACAGTGGCGCGATTTCGGCTCACTGCAACCTCCGCCTCCCAGGTTCAAGCAATTCTCTGCCTCAGCCTCCAGAGTAGCTGGGATCACAGGTGCCCACCCCCACACCTGACTAATTTTTGTATTTTTAGTAGAGACAGGTTTCACCATCTTGGCCAGGCTGGTCTTGAACTCCTGGAAAATATTCCCTTTAACCTTCCTGTTTTTTCTTTTAAAATCCTGGATGCAAAGTCTGATGATGTTCTCCATGAGAAACAGCAGGTTACTTCCTATTCTAATTAGATCGGTTTGGGGTTTTGAATGCATTAATTTCCTAGGGCTGCTCTAACAAAGTACCATAAACCGGGTTATTTCTCGTGGTTCTGGAGGCTAGACGTCTGAAAACAAGGTGGTATCGGGGCCTTGCTCTCTCCAGCGCCTCTAGGATCCTTCCTTGCTTCTTCCAGCTTCTGGTAGTCCCAGGTATTCCTTGGCTTGTGGCTGCAGGACTCCAGTCTCTTTCTGTGGGTCTTGACATGGCTGCTTTCTCCCTGTGTGTCTTCACATCATCTTCCTTCCATGCATGTCTGTGCCCAGATTTCCCTCCTTATAAGGACAGCAGGCCTGTTGGGTTACAGCATGACCAGTATGACTTCATCCTAACTTATCACACCAGCAACAACCCTATCTCCAAATAAGGTCACAGTCTGAGGTGCTGGAGGTTAGGACTTCAGTATGTCTTTTTGCAGGGGACACAATTCAACCCATACCAGGAAGCAACAGAAACACGTTCGAAAAACATCAGACAAAAAGGAGGATTTACAAGAGGCCCTGGGGGAAGTGAACGGCTGTGGGGATCCAGCACCAGAGCTCATGCACACTCTCTCTCTTTTGTTTTTGAAACTGAGTCTCCCTCTTTTGTCCAGACTGGAGTGCAGTGGTGTGATCTTGGCTCACTGCAGCTTCCGCCTCCTGGGTTCAAGCGATGCTCATGCCTCAACCTCCTGAGTAGCTGGGATTACAGGTGTGGGCCACCACTCCCAGCTAATTTTTGCATTTTTGGTAGAGACAGGATTTCATGATGTTGGTCAGGCTGGTCTCAAACTCCTGACCTCAGGTGATCCAGCTGCCTTGGACTTACAGGCATGAGCCACTGTGCCTGGCCCACATGTACTCGCTCTAAAGTGCTGCTGTTAATGTGACTCAGTGACAGCAGTTCCTAGCCCTGTGTCTTTCCATTCAAATTCCTGGTTCCTGGGTAAGAAGATTTGAATAGCTCATCAGCATGGGTCACATGTCCACCTTGGCTTCACTCAGCAGCAACTGGGGACAGCGTCTCATTGTGCAGACCTACCTGGCTCCTGGGGCACTCCCCCTCCTCCTCCTCAGGCCAAAAGCATTTCTCAAAAGAAGTGAGAAATGACCATAGACCTGGTTGTCACCCAAAAAGATGCCTGTCCCCCACCCTTCTGTAAATGACTCTGAATAACGGGTGAGCTACACACCACCTATTCATTCTGCTGTCAAGAAAGCTGATCTGCTTCTCCTATTTTGTAGAACAGCACCTTTCAGGTTTGTCTAATTTCAGACCCTCAGCAACAGAGCTTCACTGTATACAAGCAGCATGACAAGAGAGGTAGAAGTTCATTGATTAATAGACTGGATAAAATGCATTTGTGCCCTCAGTGTGGTCCAAGTTACCTGATGTCCATGGACTTTGATATAAACACTAGGCTTGCAGAGAGGTGCGAGGTCTTAAGATGGAATAGCCTTGGTGACTCCAGTTCCTAAGGCTCTATTGTACCCTCTTGTCACCCTTCTCACAGTTTACTAGGTGAGGAAACTGAGACCCAGAGGGGTAAATTGATTCCCCCAAGCCTCTTAGTAGAGCTCTTAATTCCCAGTTGGTTATCCACCAGATACATCAGACAGAGACCAATGCTTTGGTTCTCTGTGTTTGTTTAGGCTTGAGAATGTGACTGTGTGCATGTTTGTGTGTATTATATTTTGTATAATATTGTTAAATATTAATGTATCTACATGAGTGGGTAGTATTTATGGTATTGTTTTCCATTCCTTTTTGCATGGTTTATCCCAGCACAGCATCTCAAACCTCGAGGTGCACATGGATCACCTGGCGATGTTGTTAAAATGAAGATCCTTATTCAGTAGGTCTGGGATGAGGCTGAGATTCTGTATTTCTAGTAAGCAGTCAGGTGATGACAGTGGTCTTGATCCATGGTCCATATTTTATGTAGTAAGGCACTAGCAGATGGCCATGTACTTGACCTTATATATATTTATATATACACACACATGTACAAGTGTTTGCAAGAACAGAATTAGGACCACACAGGTTATTTGGGGGAAGAAAAATCTGAATCTAAAATAGAATTTAGAAATGCCGTCTCACCACAACAATACCTCTGCTCTTGTGCTGTGATGAATCATTTACATCAATTCAGTGTTTCTGTTCTCTGAAACAGCCATTATTCATAACTTGAAGTTAATGAGTGTATATTGCTCTCTAGACTCTATTTAAATTGCTTGCATACCTCATTGATTCTGAAAACCAATGTCATCTTATTGCCCTCATTTGATTATATTTTAGAGGTTTATTGATAATCAAATAAACATGAAAGCAAATACCATAATGGGTTTTCTGGTTACTTACTAAAATGACTGGGTTTTTAAAGAGGTTTCTCCCAAGACTCCATTATGGTTTCCCCAGTAAGGCATTACTTCACCCTCAGTAGAGTAACGTCAATGAAAGTGGGATGCTCTGAGAAGATATATTTAATTTATGTATTTTTCTTTACAATGAACTCTTCCAGGTACTGTAAGAGAAGCTAACTTATTAAAATCTCCCTTTTTCTTGCCAATCCTTTTAATGGTTTATGGTCTAAGAGTAGATTGAACTCTTAGACAGAGAAGACTATTGATTGATAGACCGATAGCATAAGCAAAGATAATGACTCCAACTCTGTCTTTCACTTTCTCTTTTTTTTAGACAGAGTCTCACTCTGTCACTCAGGCTGGAGTACAGTGGCGTGATCTTGGCTCACTGCAACTTCTGCCTCCCAGGTTCAAGCAATTCTCCTGCCTCAGCTTCCCAAGTAGCTGTGATTACAGGTGCCCACCACCACACCCAGCTAATTTTTTTTGTATTTTTAGTAGAGACAGGATTTCGCCATGTTGGGCAGGCTGGTCTCAAACTCCTGACCTCAGGTGATCCACCCACTTCGGCCTCTCAAAGTGCTGGGATTGTAGGCTTGAGCCGCTGCACCTGGCCTGCCTTTTACTTTTTGAGTCCCTACTTTATACCAGGCACTGTACTCTATGCTTTACATATATTTGTGTTTTTTAAATATGGACCTGTGGACCTGTGTTCAAGCTTAACTTTGCTGCTCTTCTGGAAGATGCCCTATAACCAAGATCCTATGTTTGCATTTAAAAGAAGAAAGAAAAGAAGACTAGACCAAGGCTTAGACTAGGTTAGGTGAGTGAGGGACTTAACTCACCTGCAAAGTGAAAGGGGCCCAAAAAAGAAGCAGAAAACAACCTCAGGAATCTGGATAGCGATTTTAATGAAACATATTTTAAAATAAAATGCCAAAATATTATGGTCATCAAACTATCAAAACTTTAAGTAAAGACAGCATCCAATCCTCTGCCTACACAACTCAGCCTCCCTCACTTCACTCTTATCCCAGACCTGCTACAAAATTTACATAGTGAAAAAGGTTTCAGTTTAAATTTCTAGCCATGTGGTCTTAAACAAGTTACTCAACCTCTCTGATCCCTGTTTTCTCCTCTTTGAATTGGGGTTATCATGATACCTGCCTGCCTCCTAGGATTTCTGTTGCAATTAAATGAGACTAAAAAGGTGCAGCAGCAGGTCTGAAGCCTGGTCTGTAGGAAGCATTCTGCTTCTCCTCCTCTTCCTCTATAAGAGATCCCTCAACAAATCCAGTGCATTACATTTTACATGGCAAGCCTAAACTGTCAATTTCATACTTCTGATTCCACAGAGCAACAAGAAGGCCGAGGTCCTTAACCCCATGATCAGTAGTGTATTGTTAGAGGTAAGTGGCCTCTGGAGAGAAAGTGCTTCCTAACCAAAGCAAATGTCAGAACTTTTTTTTTTTTGTCCTTCTCCCCCACAGCAAATGTTATTGCAATTCTAAATCTCATCATCAAGTCTTTTTTGAGGATATTTGTGTAACTCAACCAGCTGTAAACCCTCTGATGAAGCAACAATACCTAATTTTCAAGAATTCCTGATTATAAAAAGAAACGCTAAGCTTGCACATTATTTCTGTCGCTGTTTCCTCCAGCAGAAGCAGATTTCTGCTGCCAAATTTGACACTAGATTTAACACTATGATTATTGGCTGCAATGAGGGGTTATTGCTCAACGGTGATTTTCATAAAAATGGGCACTTCCTTGGATTTAGAATAACCTTTTGTTTAACTGTGTCTAAGCTCCAAGCCAGCAACTGTGGCAAGGAGAATCTATGCCCAGTCAACGACAAGGGGCACCATCCTCTGTGACTTCACACTCTGTGGCCTGCCCGCTCACTACGACTTCACAGCATCAGTCGTGTTGCCCCAACCAACATTGCTGTGTCTTTGCAAGTAACAGTAACCTAAGAGAGAAGAAAAGAGGTCCAGGAAGGATTCTCAATTTTGGATCATAGGCACTGCGTTCTACCTGTAGAGGAAAGGTAGAAGATTGGTAGAGGAACAGCTTCTGTTAGTGGATAAACTATAAGTAACAGCCCCAGGGCACCCAGCTGAAGACACAAGATGTTAACAAGCTCAGTCTGAATATGGCAATGCATGTATCATAGGATTTTGCTTTCTGAAGTGGCTGTCCATTGCAAAATTTGGAAATTACAAAAGTTCAGGAGGGCTGCTCTATTAGTCCATTTTCACCGTGCTGATAAAGACCTACCCGAGACTTGGCAATTTACAAAAGAAAGAGGTTTCATGATCTCACAGTTTCACATGACTGGAGATGCCTCACAGTCATGGTGGAAGGTGAAAGGCATGTCTCACATGGCAGCAGACAAGAGAAGAGAGGTCGTGCAGAGAAGCTCACCTTTCTAAAACCATCAGATCTTGTGAGACTTACGAGAATAGCATGGGAAAGACCTGCCCCCTAGATTCAATCACCTCCCACCGGGTTCTCCAACAACATGTGGGAATTGTGGGAGTTACAATTCAAGATGAGATTTGGGTGGTGACACAACCGAACCACGTTAGCCACCTATATATTTATAGCATTGTTTTGGGGATTTGTGCCTTACTGTTAAGGAAAATGACTAAGGTACAGAAATAACAGAGTCATGTCACTGAATATGATTGTTTCAGATGCAGCCCCACAGTGGGATGCCATAAGCCAGAAGGAATGGGAGCTGTAGGGAAAGGTCTTGGAGGGACAGACACAGCTAAGAGGAAACCCTGGCAATCAGAGGCAGAAATCGGTACAAGAAAAATCTCTCCCCTGGCCACCCAGAAGGCAGAAAATTAACTTACCATATCAAGTATGAGCAATATGAGGTCATATGTTTTTTCCATTTCCCCAATAGATGTTTTCCCATGTTTTGGTTACCCTAACCTTTAAATGGCCTCTCCATCCAATACTATGTATTAGTGCATCACAAAATATGAATAATAATGTCAGCTATCTCATCCAAGCAGAAAGTACCATGCAGAGGAGGATAACAGGGTTCAAGTTTGCCTTGAGTGACTCCCCCATAATATCTCCAGTTAACTTTATGCTGACCATTCCTGGTTATCTATCTGTAGGGTAGGACAAAATGACCTCCTTCATACCGTGTTTTTTGTGTTATTTCAGAGCAGTAGGGTTGATCTGGGAAAGGGACAAATAAGATAGGGCATACCGTGGGTCAAGAATGTACACGCACTGATGGATCTTCAAAGTCCACGGAAATGATTTGCCTCATTTTGAATACGTTCTCTCTGTTAATACAGATAATTAAGAGCTGGTCATGCCCCATCCAAAAGCATGTGTTTACACTTGATTTTAAGCACCAGCCTTGCAAGATGAGTATAATCCAGTACTGATGGGGGGGCGTTGAAGACTGGGGACATTAGCCAATAGGAAGAATTGTTAAGCTGAACTATGAAAATAGCCCTTCAACCTCATTCTTCTCCTCTCTCAGGGCTGCAACAGCACGACGTACATACAGGATGCCTTCCAGCTGCTGCTGCCTGTTCTGCAGGCCTCACATATCCAGACCAGTTGTTTGAAAGCACAGCTGTGACCTGGCCAGACTCCATCTAGTTTAAAGAGTCAGCTGGCCACGTTGCCTCAATATGTGCCATTTAAGGGGATATTCTCGGTACATCTGGCCACAGACACCCATTCGAGGACACTACAAGCAATTTTGCACAAACAATATTGAGAATGCAAGTTTAAAGAGAGTTACCATTTCTCTCAATGTGTATGATTGTTTTTATAAACAATTGTGTTTTCTTTATGTTAATTTAAACTTACACAGCTTATGTTGAAAATTTCCTTTTATCTAAAATTTATTTACAAATATTCATGTTCTTTTTTCCGGTTAAGCATGCTATATTTAGAAATTCATGGCAGACCTTAGACTTCTTTTATAATCCTTTAAATTTCAACCTCTAAATGTTCCATTCTTATAGTATTACTTTATATCAATTCTAAAACTGAACTTTGTTTTGTTACATTAATGTCACAGACAAAAATAACACTACTTATAGATTTTACCTATTTTGGTAAAAAAAAAAAAAAAAAAGGGACAATAGGTTTTTATTTATTTTTTTTTTTTTTTTTTCTTTTTGAAACGGAGTCTTGCTCTGTTGCCAGGCTGGAGTGCAGTGGCACAATCTGGACTCATTGCAACCTCCGCCTCCCAGTTCAAGCAATTCTCCTGTCTCAGTCTCCCAAGTAGCTGGGACTGCAGGCACACACAACCATGCCCAGCTATTTGTGTATGTGTGTGTATTTTTAGCAGAGGCAGAGTTTCACCGTATTGGCCAGGATGGTCTTGATCTCCTGACCTCGTGATCTGCCCACCTCAACCTCCCAAAGCGCTGGGATTACAGGCATGAGCCACTGCACCTGGCCGGTCATTCATTCTTGCAACAAGCATTTATTGAGCACCTACTATGTGCTCAAAGTAAAGAAACATGATGTCATCCCAGTACAGGTAGATCTTCTGAAAGAGAGTAATTCTTAAACTGCTTAAAACAGGATCCCCCATCCCCAGGCCACAGACCAGTACCAGTCCATGGCCTGTTAGGAACCAGGCCGCACAGCAGAGGTGAGCAGTGTGGGTGAGCGAGCACAGCTTCATCTGTATTTACAGTCACCCCCATAACTTGCATTACCGCTTGAGCTCCACCTTCTGTCAGGTCAGCAGCAGCCACGTAAGAGTCTCTCATAGGAGTGCAAATCATATTGTGAACTGCACATGCAAGGGATCTAGGTTGTGCACTCCTTGTGAGAATCTAATGCCTGATGATCTGAGATAAAACAGTTTCATCCTGAAGCCATCCCCTACTCTTCATCCCCCTACCCCCAGTCTGTGAAAAAATTGTCTGCCACCAATCTGGTCCCTGGTACCAAAAGGTTGGGGACTACTGGCTTAAAATGCCAGTAAATTTGGCCAGGTGAGGTGGCTCGCACCTGTAATCCCAGCATTTTAGGAACCTGAGGTGGGCGGATCATGAGGTCAGGAGTTTGAGACCAGCCTGACCAACAAGGTGAAACTTTATCTCTACTGAAAATACAAAAAAAAATTAGCCGGGTGTGGTGGCACGCACCCGTAATCCCAGCTACTCAGGAGGCTGAGGCAGGAGAATCAGTTGAAGCTGGGAGGCAGAGGTTGCAGTAAGCTGAGATTGTGCCACCACAATCCAGCCTGGGTGACAAGAGCGTAATTCTGAGACTCCATCTCAAAACAAACAAACAAACAACAACAACAACAGTAAATTTTTAAAGCTTAAAAACTTTGAAGAACAAAGTAAATTGGTGGTTTTTAAAATGTCTTACCCTTTAATCTGTTATATTTTCCTATCCTCCTTATACTGTTTTATATATGAAGTGAAAATATATATGAAAATGGATATTGAAAAGGAGTTTAAAATTAATTTCTTATGATTATGAGTGCATGATGACCTACTTACAAAGCTGGAAGTATTCAAATAGAAAATCAAAGGTGTTTCAGTATAATAGAATCCCAGGACTGCATTTTAAAATCTGCTTCACAGATCACACTGGATGGTGGCAAATACCATCATCGTTGCTAAAGGACAGAAAATACTGATGTGCATTTTAACTAACTAGTATATTGATCTGCGAGAGGCTGCACAGAAGACCCTGCAGCCAGGAGGGGCATTATCAGTGGGCTTCTCCTGAGCTCCACACCTTCATTGCAGGTGCGCGTTCTGTAGAATACTCCTGCTTCACAGCCCCATGGACGTCCCTTCAGGCACTGTCACGAGAAGCCTTGCCTAGTAGCTCTCTCCAGGGCAAATGAAGCTCATTGTTTTGCAAGGTGAAAACCTCTTATTCACATTTGCTTTGATTCCCCCAATGCAGTAGACTGCCTTTGTTCCACACAGGCAAAGTAGGGCTATTTTAATATCTTCCTACTTGGTGTCAGCATTTAATTTGTCTATGTACTATATTTCATTTGTTTGTCTCCTGAAACATCCAAATAGAAAACATTAGACCACTTTATTTACAATCTGGAAAAAAATTATCTGAGAAATCCATTAAAGATTTTTTCCCCCACTTTGATTGCCAGAAATGTTTCTGTTATTAAGTCTAGAGATTGATTAATTGATGAAAATGTTGCATTTACCTATTCATCTAATTTTAGACTTTTTATGTGTAGAGCAGAGGAAATGATTTGGATTTACAATTTCTTCACATCAGTTTTTCTTTCTTATTTTCTTTTTCATCAGATGGGTTTAGACATTAACTGGAAATAAAGAGAAACAAGTGTCAGGGCGCGGTGGCTCATGCCTGTAATCTCAACATTTGGGTGGCTGAGGTGGGTGGATCACCTGAGGTCAGGAGTCAGAGACCAGCCTGGCCAACATGGTGAAACCCCATCTCTACTAAAAATACAAGAAAATTAGCCAGACGTGGTGGTGCGCACCCGCAGTTCCAGCTACCCAAGAGGCTGAGGCACGAGAATTGCTTAAACCCAGCAGCAGAGGTTGCAGTGAGCCAAGATCACACCACTGCACTCCAGCCTGGGAGACAGAGGGAGATTCCGTCTCAATTTAAAAAGAGAGAGAGAGAGAGAGACAGAGAGAGAGAGAGAGAAACAAGTATTTTCCAAGGAGCTAGAATCCCAGACTTAGACTTTAAGCCTAACCGCGCCTGTGTAATGCATGCATAGCAAAAACTTAAATGATAAAATAAAATATAAATGTTTAAAAGAATAAGACATAATTATTCCAAAAGAAGTGGTTGACATCATTGGCATTGCACTTATCTTCTAATGCTGGAATGTCTAAGGTTGCCAGGTGAAGACAGGCTGAGAAATGATTCCCTGGGCCTAGTTCCATAGTCTGCGAATTACATTATTTAAGAGAAAATAATCACTTAAAATAGACCCACCCTCCAGGATTTCTTTCAATATTGTTTTTCACCATCACTTTTAAATAATTGCTTCTTTGCTTTGCTTTAAAACCTGGCAAAGCGCAGGATCCAGATCTGTGCAAATGTCAGTCCGTTACTAAATGAATGATTTAACAGGCTTACCTTGGAAGTTTTTTATTCCTTCAATAATCCTTTACATAAATTGGGTTCATTTCATTCTGTGCAATTACCCTGAACAAGCGTGCCAGTTTTTTCTTAACATCAAGTGCAAAATAAGTTCTAGTCTAAATAATGAATGTAGTCTTGTGCCTGTGACTTATTAAATAAGAAGCATCAAAAGCAGATCTCAAATTCAAAGTAAAATGCGTTCAAGAAAAACTGCTTTCAAGTACTGATACAGACAGATTGGAAGGGCAAAATTGAGTCCCAAATCTTAAAGCGTAGGCCTTAGCTGAAATATTGTACCCTACCGAGAAGAGAAGGCTCTGTTTTCTCTGGGTGTCACCCTGGGGTGCACAACAAGCTCATAGCTAAATGAGCATTGTGATGAGCTGAGGCCCTGGCAGGGGTGAGCGAGAATGTGCTACAGCCTCAGCAACCCCAGCTAAGGAACTTTGGACCTCATCTGAGGGCTCGAATGGGACCAAGGAAGTTCCATCCTTGGGCAGGCTAAAGGACAGTGCTGAATACAAGGTAGGGGCCTGAATACGGAAGTGAGTTTCTTTGTGGTTTGTAGAAATCAGCTTTCCCAAGGTGCTCAGATACCTGGAAAGTCACCTTCCGCACAGGAAGGCCATGCTGTGTTCATGTTAGAAATAAAGGCAGATGGGGAGCATCACACACTGAGGTCTGTGAGGGGGATCTAGGGGAGGGACAGCGAGGGGTGGGGAGTTGGAGAGGGATAACATGGGGAGAAATGCCAGATATAGGTGATGGGGAGGAAGGCAGCAAACCACGTTGCCATGTATGTACCTATGCAACCATCCTGCATATTCTTCGCATGTACCCCAAAACCTAAAACGCAATAAAATACAAAAAAAAGAAAAAAGAGAAAGAAAGGCAGACAGATTCCAATCATAGCCATCCCAGAGGTCTTGGATGTAACATCTCAGGGAAGCAACTTAGCAAAAATTTGACATGAACATTTAATTTCTAGTCTTTCCTAAAAATGCGTGTGTGTGTGTGTGTGTGTGTGTGTGTTGAACAGATGGGATTGATCATAATACATGACTACGTGACTTTAAATGATATTTAATTTTATTTAGGAGCAATGATTTTTCAGGGTCAAGCTAGTTTTTTCCATAATGTAAAAACTGCCCTTTGATATTCCTCCTAAGTAAGTGTGCCCTACATTTTGATATGCAGATCCAGGCTTCAACTTAGTATCTTAAATTACCGTGTTTGTAAAGGCCCATCAGAAGAGATCATACAGAAAATCCATCTTAGAACTTCAATTTCGCTCTGGTTTTGTAGGTGATTAGAATTCATAACACCATAGGAGTGTATTCAGACCAGCCATTCTTCCCATAAAAGAAAAAAATGATATAGTTACCCATGTGTTTTATTTTTCTAGATTATCTCATTACTTATGCAAGTTTGTGTTCATTTTCTGTATGTCCATCCATACTGGATGCTACACTAGAATATCTACTATTAGGCAATTCTAAAGAAAGACAACATTCTATTTATTTATTTATTTATTTATTTTTTGAGACAGAGTGTCACTCTGTCCCCAGGCTGGAGTGCAGTGGTGTGATCTCTGTTCACTGCAACCTCTGTTTCCTGGGTTCTAGGAATTCTCCTGCCTCAGCCTCCCAAGTAGCTGGGATTACAGGTGCACCCCACCACACCTGGCTAATTTTTGTATATTTTTTAGTAGAGATGGGGTTTTGCCATGTTGGCCAGGCTAGTCTCGAACTCTTGACCTCATGTGATCTGCCCGCTTCAGCCTCCCAAAGTGCTGGGATTACAAGCGCGAACCACCGCACCCAGCCTATTTTTTTTCTTCTTAGACCCTGAAAATAATCTGAATTATTCTACCCTTTGAACATTTCACCTTTAGCAATGATTAAATTATTACATTCCAAACAGTAAG